GCTTTGAGCTGGTGGTAGGTTAGAAAAAGAAGACAGAAGTGGTCTAGGGATGGAGGGAGGGTGGAGGGTGGGCTGGTCAGAGAGGGACATGGTGAGCAGAGGCCATGGGACATGTGGGGTTGGAATCAGTGGCATCAGCACTGTGTAACTGGCTGCCCTTATAAACAGGGAGCATTGAGTATGTCTGGACCAGACGACTAACCAAAGTTAGGAGAGCAGTACACAGCAGGGATGGTATTGTGGTAGATCAAGTAATTTGTATTTTCCCAGTTCAGCTGTGGAGATTTGGCAGTGAGGACAAGGCTGGGCAGGTGGCCGAAGGAAGATGAATGACAAGGAGACAGCAGGCTGATGGAAGTGCTGGCTAGCCAGCTAGCAGCAAATAGAAATAGGAGAAGGGGGGAAGGAAGGAAGAAGAGACAGGGAAAAAAACAGAATATATTACTGGCTGTCTTGTTATTTTAGCTGCCTAGTAGCCATGTAAACAAGCAGCATAGGAGATGTCGTGGTTGGGAAGGGGAGGGTGAGAGGGCACATGGCTTTTCAAGGTGGACCTCGGAGTGAGAAGATGAGTGAGAGATGAGGTGGAGAGGGGGGCAGGGGCCTTCTGGTCATCTTGAGAAGTTTGGGCTCTGTCCTGAGTGTGATGAGAAGTCACTGAAGGCTTTAAAGGCAGAGGATGCACTGTGGGGATGGTGAGGCCGAGAGGCTGTTGCCGGGAAGAAATGATGGAAGCATGGCATAAAACAATAACGGGGCAAACCGGAACAGATTTGAGAGATGTGTAGGGCAGGGAATTTATAGGACTTGGTGACTGATTGGTTATGGAGAGGAGGAGGTAGAGGTACGGATGACTTGTAGCTTTGGGCAGTGAGGCAAAAACTAAGGCCATTAACCGACTAACAATATATACAAAACTAGCAAGGCTTTTTATCATCCCAGGGAAATCCCAAGTAGTTATAAAGTAAAAGGGAGCTCCAAGGATGTTCTTCAGATTCTGTTCATAATTTGGCTATAATTAAATGATCAAAGACAAGTATCCTTTTATTTAATTGATTAACAGAACTCCTTTGGGAGCTTATTCTAATACTCCCATAACATTTACCACCAAGAAAGACTTACCATTATATGGACTCTAAATGAATCTTGACTATGATAATATGATAACGTGTGCGTTCGGTTCTGTGTAGCAGAGTGTAAACCCAGAAATATGCCTGTAATGATAACCAAATTTATATAGTACTTTATAGCCTATATAAATCCATTATTTTATGTGAGTCCCTTAACAGCCTTACCAGGGAAGCTAGTTTCTTCCCTCCCTTTATAAGCATCGAGGCCGGGACAGCTTATGGGAAATCCACAGGCAATATGTAGAAATATTTAAAAGTTATAAATCAAGTTTGACAAAAATGTCTTCATAGCCACAAGAATGGAAAACATGTATAAAGTTAGGGTTTTTATATGAGTGAAGTTGGCAAAATATCATATGTGACTAAATTTAATTATCTTTGCTCATTCCTGGGCATCCAACTGAGTTGGCAATGTTTGGATGAATAATAAAATAATGAACTATGTGATTCATAATTTTTTACATATTTATGCCAAAAAATAATTCTTCTTATTGTCCTTTCAGTAAAATCATAAATTGTGCTGTTATAAACAAGATTTTCACATGGTTGATGTTCTGTTAACAATGATACCAAATGAGACCATCCTTTCTGAGTTATTGTAGCTCTTTGTTTTTTGTGGTACGCGGGCCTCTCACTGTTGTGGCCTCTCCCCTTGTGGAGCACAGGCTCCAGACGCGCAGGCTCAGCGGCCATGGCTCATGGGCCCAGCCGCTCCGCAGCATGTGGGATCCTCGCGGTCCGGGGCATGAACCCGTGTCCCCTGCATCGGCAGGTGGACTCTCAACCACTGTGCCACCAGGGAAGCCGTATTAATGTCATTTTAAGAAAGCTTTACTCCGCTGAAACAGAGTTGAAAATAAATCATGAAATTTACTTATCATGTCCAAACATTGTAATGATATCATATCTGATGAATTATTATCATTGCAGAAAATATATTAATTACATCATATAAACTGCTATCACTTATGTTGTCATTTTAACTCTCTTAAATGTTATGAGAAGAACTAAGTAATGTGAAGTAATGTGAAGAACCAATATCAAACCTCTAGACCCACACATTTACAAATGTAAAAGTAATATGAATTGCTTAATATTGCAAAATACTTCTGTCTCCATGTGCAACTGTAACGAATACTGTGCTGATTCCTGAGGAACCACACAAATCTCTGGAACCACAAACTTGAACAGAAAGAGAGGCAAGAAAGTTGATATTCAATACTACAAGGAAACATTACTTTGTTATTTAAGAATTGCATTCATGCTGTCTGAGAGGAAGGATCTGACTAATTAATCCATCCATGTTCTTACCAAATTAAGCACTCCTACTGTTCAAAATCTCACTGGTCTGTCTCTGATAGTGGTGATAGCCACAAAAAAATCACAACCTTAGACGCGGTCATGTTTTGTTTTGAGGACATAAAGCAAGTGGAGAAGAATTTCCTTGGGATCTGAGAGTGTTTATTCGTGAGAGCAACGTTCACAGTTACAGGTTACCAGTTTCCAAGTGAGAGGCACCCGTATCTTCTTGTTTCATTTTCTTATGACAGCTTTATGGAGATATAAATCATGTAACACGACAGTCATCACTTGAAAGGGGTTTTTAGTATATTCACCCTAAAAAGAAACTCTGAACCCATTAGCAATCACTTCCTATACCTCCCTCTCCACCAGCCCCTGGCAACCATTAATCTACTTTATGTGTCTATAGTTGCTTATTCTGGACATTTCATATAAATAGGATCATACAATTTGTGGCTGTTTGTGTCTGGCTTCTTTCATTTAACATAGTATTTTCAAGGTTTATCTATGTTGTGGCATGTGTCAGCACTTCACTCCTTTTCCTGGTTGAATAATACTCTGTGATATGGATACCACATATTGTTTATTCATTCATCAGTCAGTGGACATTTGGGTTGTGTCTACTTTTTCGCTATTACCAATAATGCCACTATAAAGATTGCATACAGTTTTTGGTGGGACATGTTTTCGTTTCTCTTGGGTCTATTACCTAGGAATGGAGTTACTGGGACAGGTGGTTACTCTATGTGTAACATTTTAAGGAACTAACCAAATGGCTTTACAAAGTACTTGTGCAATTTTACAACTCTACCAGCAATATACGAAGGTTCTAATTTCTGCACATCCTTGTCAACACTTGTAGTTGTCTTTTTGGTTATAGCTGTCTTAGTGCTGCATCATTGTTTAAACGCTTTACAAGTGTTAACTTATTTGATTCTCCCAAAAATGCTGTATCCAGAAAAGGGAATTCAGAGTTAGAGGTTCAGTAACTTGCTGAACACTAACACACTGGAGAGGAATATGTAATAAGGAATATGTTACACAGAGAACATTATTTGAACACTTAAGGGAATGAAAACAACTTTGGGAGATTTTTTTCCCCCTTTTTAAATGAGATCTTCCTGAGTTTAAGATAAAATCCTCTGTTCTATGCAAATTAGTCTACCGTTGATGTACTTAATCCACTCCTGCCTTATGCTTCAGAGTTAGGCAGTATTGGGGCCTAATATTGAAAACAGGGAGGGAGAAAAATAATCTCTGAATATTCATTTCAATTAAGGCAAAATTTTCCATTTAGCCAAGAACAAAATCTATCAGCCACTGATATTTTGTGAATATTAATTTTAAAAACATTAATTTAAAAAAGATTTGAAAAGTTTTGTCCTCCAAGTATGATCTTTATTATTCTTGGGCCAAAACAGTTTCCAAGGTACACGTTTCCACATTCTTAGTGAATTCAGTGGAAATTGACTTCAGAGCCATTTTTATGTTTTAATTCCATGAAGACACATAACACCTTTTAAAATTCTAATTTTATACTAATTTATAATTGTAAAAAGTTATGTTTTTTATATTAGGATAATAGTCAAGCAGAAGTATATCTTTTAATGTTTGCTCTCAAAAGTAGAAGTGTCAACTTTCTTAGGAACATGGCAATTAAGTAAATGCAGTTAACTCACTACCTAGAAAAGACTTGGAAGAGTCTTCAACTCTTTCTTTAGGAATCTTATTTCCAGGCTACATTGCTATTTAAGAATAAACTTGTGGGGCTTCCCTGGTGGCACAGTGGTTGAGAGTCTGTCTGCCGATGTACCGGACGCGGGTTCATGCCCCGGTCCGGGAAGATCCCACATGCCGCGGAGCGGCTGGGCCCGTGAGCCATGGCCGCTGAGCCTGCGCATCCGGAGCCTGTGCTCTGCAACGGGAGAGGCCACAACAGTGAGAGGC